GTGTTGTTGGGGTGGGGGGGATGGCGGGATAACACTGGGGCCAAATTTGTTGGGGTGTGGGGGCAAGAGGAATGTTGTGAGGGCTGACATCATGGCTGCTGAATGTGCGGCGCGATTGAGAGTGGTGGGATAGGGTCGCCACAGGCCCAACCCAGAGCCAGTCACGCCGGGCGGCGGGCGGACGGGCCGCGCCACACCCCTGCCGCAACGGAGCGCAGCGAACGGCCACACGGCGTGCTGCTACTGTATTGCCATCCGGCCGGCCGTCAGCGGCAGTGCTTGGAGGACTGCAATCCTATTTCAGATTTTGACGGGGTCCTGGGGTCGCCGGCTTCTGGAGCCATCCAGCAGGCGCATGGGATTGGGCTGTAAATACCCCCCCCCCCCAAAGGCTCACCAGGGGCAGGCATTCGTAAAAGGGCAGCAGCACGTTGACCGCGTGGCCGCGAGCCAGGCAGGCCCGCGCCAGGCCCGTCACCACGTCACCCAGGCCGCCGACCTGGGGGGTCAAGAGTGTGTTTGTGTGTGTGTGTGTGTGTGTGAGGGTGGGGTCGGGTAGGGGGTCGCATGCAGTGGTGGTCGTTATGCGTGTGCGGGGGGAGGGGGCCGGGTGGTCGAATGTGGGGTTGTGGTTTTACGTGGATCGACATCGAATGTGGGGGTGGTCGCGTGCGTTGACGGTGTGGTGGGGGGACAGTGCAGGGGACCAGGGCTCTATCAAGGGATGCGAGCCGCTCCTAGGGACGCTGAGCGTACATCGTGGGGCATGGGTGGGCCGATGGCGGAGGAGGGGAGGGCGTGGCGGGGATCGCCAAACAGTAAAACGGGGCTCCGCCGGCTGGAGCGGATCAGTTGGATTTTTCCTGCGCGCTCAGAAGCTCTCTGACAAGAGAAGTCCTGCGTCCCGCTCCCCGCGCCGCAGCAGCACCCAGCGTGTGCACACGCAGGGTGCGTCGGGTACAGCCCCCTTCCGCCCCCCTTGCTTTTCCAATATGTGCCTTGCTATTCTGCGCCTTGTTCAAAGCCTTGGCTCGGCATTGTTGGCGCGGATGTTTTCCCGTGATCTGTCTCGACGGCTTCACAGGGGCAGGGCTGTGGCACCGCCGCCGCCACAGCAAACACAAAGCCAGCCCCGGCCGCGGCCCCCGCTTTCGACTAGCAGCACAGCAGCAGGGCAGCGGGGCTGCACCGCACCCCGCCCACACCTTTGCGATGGGCGCCAGCTCAGCCGTGAAGTGCACCACCTGCAGCGGCCGCGCGTCCTGCGGCGGCGCCTCAGGCGGCCCCGCGCCGACGTCAAACGGCATCGCCTCCGACCGCGGGGCCGCCTCCCAAAACGGGGTGGAGGGGTCAGGCCACGCGACGCCCGCCTCGAGGCGGCGCTGAGTGTGGTGGTGGTTGGGAGGGGGCCGGACGGTGGGGCTCGGTTTGGGGGCGGGCATATGAACGGCTGGGCCGGCGCCACAGTTTGGCAAGCTCCCGGGTATGCGACAGCGCCGTCGGCTGACCGCCTGCGCCCCGCCTTCGCGGCTGTCAGGGCGGCCGCTGCTGCCGCAGCTGCTGCCGCAGCTGCTGCCGTGCCCGCCGCTTTCTTCCTCAAACATTGATATTGCCATGTCATGGACCTGCCGAATCACCCCGCAGCCCCTTGCACCCCACTGAGCCCCAACCCACCAGGAACGCCTCTGTCCCCGCCGCCGCCGCCGCCCCCGCCGCGCCGCCCCTGCCCGCCTCCCTCCTGGGCGCCGCGGCCGGCGGCTGCGCCACAGGCGCCTCCGCCGCGGCCGCTGCTGTTGGTGCCTCAGGGGCCGCCACAGTGGTCGAAGTGTCCGCCCCCGAGAGCCCGGCCTGCCGCAGCTGCTGCTTCAGAAGAGCATTCTCGCGCCGCAGCGCCTCCAACTCCTGCGCCATGCGCGCCGCCGCGTCGCCGCCGCTGGCGGCTGTGGATGGGGCGGCCGGCTTCTGCTGCTGTCGCAGGTTTGCGGCCTGGGGTGCGAGGAATTGTGCGGGGGGCAGGGCGTGTTTGCAACATACGTTTTTTTTGTGCATGTGCATGTGCATGTGTGTGTGTGTGTGTCCGCGTGCGTGTGTGTTTTTGTGGGGGGGGGGGGGTGCGGGGGTTGAAGGGGTGGCACCTGCTTCGGATATGCCTATGATCCTAGAAGCAGGCCCGGCGAAGTTTGTGCACAGGGGTACATGTGGTGCCGGGCCATTCAACTGCTCCGGTTGCATCGAGCAAGTTGGTGCAAGAAGGGGGTTGTGCGAGGTGTTGTGTTTATGGGAGGGGTCCGGACTTGTTGCTGGGGGCGATGATCCCCCCGTACCGCCCACATGCCGCGGCAGCCTTGCCTCGCCGGGCCGGGTCTCCCTGTTCCCGCCTATCCACACGTGACGGGCGTTGACTGCCCGGCACTCGCCCCTCCACCCCCCTGAAAGCAACAGCGTTTGCCCTGCCGCGCCCCGCGCAGCGACGATCCCTGGGGAACGCGCACCTGGCACACGGGCAGAGGCCTGGCGTGCACCGCGCCTCGCGACGCCGAGGGGACGCATCGCAGCGGTGCGGCGGGGGCAGCGCGGCGCGCATCGCTCGCGTGCACCGCTCCTCTCGGGCGCCCGCCCGCCGTCGTTCGGCACATCATTGTTGATTGCCCCTACTGCTACGGGGGCGTGAACTGCCTGCTGCCTCGCGTTCTGGTGGATACTCGCGCGGTACCCGAAAGACCGCGTCGTGGACGGTGTGGATCCCCGGAGGTGCAGGCCGGTGGAGCCCTCCAGACCCTGATATTAGGGATGCGCCAATACTAGAAATGATTTTGCGCCGTCCTCCGGCGCGATCTCGTGTGCCAGTGCGGGGATTGTGTGCGTCGTCGACACACCCCGGTGCCGAATGCCCGCGCTCAGTCGCTCAATTCCTCCCTCGCATCTCACATACGTCCAATCCCACTCCTGTAGAGTCCCGGGGCAGCGCTGAGACCCCAGTCAGCATCTCACTGCAGCACAGCAGCAGCACGCATGCTGCTCAACCGGTCCCCCGCCCTCAGGGGGCAATCCCGAGGATGCGCAACCGGACGTGCTGCTCTTAGAACCGGCGTGCAGCCGCGATACAGCACGCCAAGGGGCCCGGCCGTCTCGAGCAGCAGTGAGTCCCGCTGCTCTCGCACTGAACTGGGCTGCCCCGGGTGAAGCTTCTGCGCTCCCCCGTTTCCGCCGAGCCCTTGTGTCTGAGAAATCGGAATCCATCCACGCTCTCTCCCACAGAATGGGCGCGCGTCGGCAGCGGCGCCCGCTGGGTGAGCGGGCCGGCGACGCGTCGGAAGCGCAGCGCCGTCTGGGGGCAGCGGCCGCGACGCGCCTCGAAGGCCGCAGTAGAGGGGCGCGCCGGCCCCGCACCGCGGCGCGTCGGGGCACGCAACGCGCCCGCGCCACTGCCGCCCGGCCCTCTCCGGAGAGTCCGAACCCCGAGCGCTGCGCGCCTCCCCTCCCACTTGAAAACAACACAACACGCCGCCCTCCGTCCCGCCTGCCACTGGGATCCTTGCGCTCCCCTCTCAGGCCCCCGCGGCCGCCCCCGAGGCGCCCGGCGCGCAGGCGTCTGCCCCGGCGGTCGACCCCGACCTCTCGGCGCTCATGGACAAGATAAAGAAGGAGAGCGGGGCCCTCTCGTCGGAGCTGAATGCCTACAGGCAGCAGGCGGAGGCCAAGCTGACGTCACTGGCGGCGGCGCGGGGCCTGGACGCGGCGGCGCGGCGGGAGCTGCAGGAGCTGCAGCTGGTGATGCAGGCGGCGCTCGCGCAGGTGTGGGCGGCCGTTTTTACATGTTGGTTGGCGGTTTTGTGGCATGTATCGGTGGCCTGCCCGCGCGTTGGGGGCTTGAGAGAGGGGGCGGGCTCCGGGGCAGGCACGCCCGGGCGGGAGGACGCGCACCAGCGGACGGAGCGGCGGTCGCATCAAGGGACGGTTTATGCGCACGCTGCCGGCAGCGGCGGCGCGGCTGGGCGGGACGCGGCGCGTTGCAAAGCGGGAGCGCCCTCGCCGCGCCACCAAGGCTGAGTTTATGCCTCGCCTCAGCCCCAAACGAACTGGTCTACGCAGCAGTGCAGAGCGGCGGCGCTCGTCAGCACCCGTTCATCAAGCACAGGAACCGACTCGGTCACCTCGAATAAACACTTCGCGTGCGTAATCACGCGCGCAGGTTGACGTCCTTGCGCGCCAGGCGGCCCTGGCTGACCTGCTGCAGCACCGGCTGACTCAGCAGGAGGAGGTGCTGGCGGCGCTGCAGGTGGTGGGGAGGGCGCTTTGCCTGTTGTTTGTATGTCTGTAAGGATCTGTGTGTGTGCGTGTGCGTGTATGGGTGTTTGGGTGTGTGCATCTGCACGCGCGCGCATGTGAGTATGGGTAGCGGTCGGGGGGTCAGGGGAGGGGTTCCAGCGGGTGTGCATTGGATGACGGTGTAAATATATGAGCGAGCGAAGGGCAGCCGGTGCCGGCGGGGCGCGCGCTCGGCGCTGCGTGTGGCGCAGGCGTGGCTCCTGCTGCGATTTGCGGCGCGGCTGTCCCTGGTGTCCATTTTTTCGACATCACAGACGGCCGCCCTGGGAGTCGCGCGGGCGCTGCGGCAGAGGGCTCGGCTCCATCTCCCGTGCCACAACACACATACGCACACATATGCACGCACGCATGCTCGCACACCCACACACCCACACACACACCCACACACGCACGCACGCACGCACACATACGCACACACCCATGCACACACACACGCACGAGCGCACGCACTCACACACACACACACACACACACACACACACACACACACACAC